CTTTACAGCCCTTCTGGGGTCGCCGGCCTTTCCAACACTGGGGAGAGCTGTCATGGTTCTTTAGACGGAAGGCGGCCTGTGGGCCTTTCCAGTTCCGCTGCGAGCGCTCAAACGAACCTCCTTCGGGCAAGGCAAACTCAGATCACTGATTGCGCGGTCGTGCCCGGTTCCGCGAGCTGCGTATCTAAACCAGACCCCCCGGGGAAGGTGGCACGAAGCGTCGACCGGCAGGGGTTGGTTGTCCCGCCTGGTGGTCGTTGCTGTTCGAGGGTGTGCGGCGCCCCGTCTTGAGCTCGAACGGCAGCAGCGCCCGCGACGCGCCGCACCCGCCGGGCGAGTCGAGCTCGGCGGAGAGGACGGCGTCGAGGGTGCCTTTGAGGCCGAAGGTGTACGACGTGAGCGCGTGCTCCGACGCAACCACCCCGCTCAGCCGCAGCCGAGTCGGCAGCCCGCCGGGCGGCGGCGGCGGCGGCGCGGGCGCGGGCGCGGCGGGTGCGGCGGCGGAAGCAGCGGCGGCGGAAGCGGCGGCGAGGGCCCCGAACCCGCCCATCGCCCGTGCCTGCTGGCCGTGGTTTGGCGCGAGCGGCACGGCGGCACGACCGCTCGGGAGCGGGACAGGCGAGGCGCGGCCGGCGAGGCCGTGCTGCCCCCGCTGGTGCCGCTGCTGGTGCTGCTGGTGCTGCTGGTGCTGCTGGTGCTGCTGGTGCTGCTGGTGCTGCTGGTGCTGCTGGTGCTGCTGGTGCTGCTGGTGCTGCTGGTGCTGCGGCTGGTGCTGGTGCTGCTGGTGCTGCTGGTGCTGGTGCTGCGGCGGCGGCGGGAAGAAGTCGTTGGCCCAGGCGGCGAGGTCGCCGTACGCCTGCGGCAGCTCCTTCACTGTTGACCATGCGTTGTGTGTGGACTACAGTGTGGTCTCGTCCTCCGTCGACGCCTGCCGCAGCTCCTTGGCAGCGAGGAAGTGTCTAGGAAGTGTCCAGAAAGTGTCTAGGAAGTGTCTAGGAAGTGTCTCACCTGCCGCAGCTCCTTGGCAGCGTCGGGGCAGCGGTCTGGCGACTCCGACTGCAGCATGAGCAGCTCCGGCAAGTGCCTAGGACCGAGTCAACGAGAGGACCGCTCCGTCCTCTCACTCCCTCACCTTCCGCAGGGGCAGAGCTCCGGCAACTGCCTCTGCAGCACGCGGCCGACGACCGCATCGCACTCTCCCGCGCCGGCCGGGGCAGCGCCGCCGCCGCAGCCGCCGCCGGCCGGCCCCGGCGCCTGCGCGCCCGCCTGCGCGCCCGCCTGCGCGCCCGCCCTGCGCGCAAAGATGTGCTCGGCGACCTCGTGCTTCATCGCGCCGAGGATCAGGTTGGCCGACAGCTCCGCGCCGCCCCGCCGCACGCGGGACAAGACCACCTTGCGCGCGCAGCCACACGAGCCGCCAACCTAGAGGAGCGTCTCACTCTCCACGCTCTCTCGGCAATCTCGGACAGCCTCGCACAATCTCGGACAGTCTCGCCAACCTGCGTGCCGGTGAGGAGCGTCTCCGGCCGCAGCACGAGCAGCGCGCCGCACCTACTCGGACAATCTCGGGCTCATCTCGGGCTCAGCTCGGCTGATCTCGGCTCATCTCGGACAATCTCGGCTCATCTCGGCTCATCTCGGCTCATCTCGGCTCATCTCGGCTCATCTCGGCTGATCTCGGCTCATCTCGCGCCAGCGGGAGAGGACGCCGCACGACCAGTGCAGGGCGCCGCCGCAGCCGCAGCCGCGCAGAGAGCCGATGACGTGCACGCGGTCGCCTTGGCGGGCGGGCGTGTCTGCCCACTCGTCCTCAAGCCTCAGGTGCAGTCCGGCCATCGGCAGCGCCATCTCGCCCTCGTCCTGCGGGGGGGCCGCCTCCTCCCCGTCCGGCAGCAGCACCTGCGGGGGCGTGTCGTGGACGTGTCGTGGACAAGTCACCATCCCTCGCCCTCCCCGTCCGGCGGCAGCACCAGCCATGTGCACGGCCCTTCGCGCCGCACCTGCAGCGTGGGAAGGAGGGGAGGGGAAGGGGGGGGGGGGGGGGTGCCGGGCGGGAAAGGTGAAAGGGAAAGGGAGGTGGGAGGGGGGGAGGGGGGGGGGGGGTTGAGAGGCAGGGGGAGAGGTGAGAGGGAGAGCGCGGGTGAGGTGGGAGGCAGAAGCACCTCCAGCACCGCCGCACTCACAACGCTTCCGGGGTACTCGCCAACAGCGGTGAGGCCGTCAACAGGGGCCGTGATGCTGCCGCCCGCGCCCCGCGCTGCCGCGCCCCGCGCTGCCGCACCCGTGCTGCTGCCGCCCCGCGCGGCTGCGCCCGTGCTGCTGCCGCCCGCGCCGCCACCCGCGCCGCAACCGGCCACGGGCAGCGGCGGCGCAGCCGCGACTGCCTCTGGCGGCGGCGGAGCTCGCGCGACCGCCTGCGGGGGCGTGTCGTGGACGTGTCGTGGACATGTCACCATCCCTCGCCCTCCCCGTCCGGCGGCAACTGCCTCTGGCGGCGGCGGAGCGGGCGCGGCTGGCGGCGGCAGCGGCGGCGCAGCCTCCTCGCGCGGCCGCAGCGGCCCCTCGGCCCGAGCAGGCTGCTCCTGGTCCCGCTCCGGGCGCCCGCCGCCGGTCTTGTCGACGATGAGCTGGATGAGCGTCGCCTGGGAGAGAGGGGGGGGGAGGTGGAGGGGGGCGAGGGGGGGGGGGCATCGGGAGAGAGGGCTCTGGCTGTAGGAGAGGTAGGAGCGTCGCCTTGACGTCGTCTGCGTCGTCCGCCTGGCGCAAGCAGAGCTCGGCTCACCTCGGGGCCATCTCGGGGCCATCTCGGGGCCATCTCGGGGCCATCTCGGGGCCATCTCGGGGCCATCTCGGGGCCATCTCGGGTGATCTTGGGGTGACGTCGGGTCACCTCTGGGTCATCTCGGGGTGATCTCGCGTCATCTCGGGGTGATCTCGCGTCATCTCGGGGTGATCTCGCGTCGGCCGCCTCCTCGAGCTTGCCCCTCTCCACGCCCGCCTCCCTGGCGCGCTTCTTGAGCGCCGACGGTTTCATGCCCCCCAGCTCCGCGCGCAGCAGCCTCCCCACCACCACCCCACCACCCCCCCCCTCTGCAGCAGCAGGCGACGGCCGCAGGGGCGAACAACACGCCCCGAGCGGCGGCGGCGGCAAAGCTGCCGCCATCTGCGAAGGCCCACTGCGCCTCCCCTGCCCTGCGGCGGCGGCGGCTGCGGCGGCGGCGGCGGCAGGAGCAGCCGCCGCCGCTGCCACAGGAGCGGCGGCGGTGAGGTCGGCGGCGGTGAGGTCGGCGGCGGCGTGGTCGGCGGCGGCTGCCGCGGCCCGCGGGATCCGAGCTCCGTCTAGCCTCGCGCCCTGCCCCGCCGCCCGCCCGGTCGCCTGCCCCGCCGCCGCCTCGACAGCCTCGGCGGCGTCCGCGGCGTCCGCGGTCTCCAAGGCCTCGACAGCCGCCCCAGCGAGCGAGCGCGAGCGCTTCCCCGCCGCGCGAGAGCCAACCGGGCGGAGGGAGGAGGCGGCGGGCGGCGGAGGCGGGCGCGGCGGCGCGTCCCGCAGGTCGCCGGCGGAGCTCGACTGGATGTCCGTCAGGATGGACTCGAGCAGATCCTCCACCGGCGGCGCGGCGGCGGGCGCCCCCTTTGGGCCCGCCGCTGCCGGCTGCACCTCCCGCCGCATGCAGTCGAGCAAGGACGGCGACGAGGCCGACACGCCCCCCTGCGCGCGCGGAGAGTGCGGGATCGGCGACGGGCGATCTTGGGCAGAGTCGGGCGGCGACGGGCGGCGGCGGCGAGAGAGGTGGGCGGGGGGGCGGGGGGCGGCGGCGGCGGCGGAGGCGGCGGTGGCGGCGGAGCACACCGATTCAGCCCCAGGTTCAGCAGCCAAGCGCTGCCGCCGTTTCTTGCCACGGTTGAGCAGGTGGAGGACCGCGCTCACCTGCTTGTTGTTGCTGCCGCCCGACGCCGGCGGCTCGGCGGGCGGAGCCGCCGCCGGGGCGCGAGGCGGGCGCACAGGATGCGCCGCGCGCTTTACCTTTTGGGGGTCGCAAAAGTTCCACCGGATCGGCTGCTCCGGCGACATGCCCGGCGACAGTGCTTCGACGATCGGCGCGGGCTCCCCCACCGGCACCGGCACCAGCGGCGCCGCCGTTTCGCCGCTGGCGCCAGTGTTTTGCGGGCGCTCGGCCAGGCCCGGCGATCGCACGCCCGCGGGCCAGCTGAGCTTGGTCTGGACCTTCTGCTTCGGCGACCGCGCGGGAGGCGGGAGTGGCGCCTTCTTCTTCTTCTTGGAGAGCATGGGAGGCGGCACGTCTCTAAGCCATCGGCGAAGGTCGCTGGCTCCCGTCAAGGCGCGAGCTCAAAAAAATCAAAGCATTCGTGTCGGGATTGTTCAATGGTGGCGAAAGAAGCCGCGAGAACAAGGGACCGCAGGCGGCGGCGTCACAGAACGAGGCAGAGGAGAGCGACGCGACAGAGGAAGAAGCGACAAGGGAGAGCACGACGAGAAGGGGGCGACCGCGAGGTGGCACGAAGGTTGCAGCGAGAATCGGAGAGAGACTGCGAAGAGAGATAGGAAGAGGCAGACTCCCTAGTGTGGGCGACGGCTAGCGCACCACACACCTCTCCTTAAAATCCCTGTGTGGTGGCGGCGTGCCGTCCTCCCATCCCTCCCTTGGGCTGTCTGTTTTCTTTCTTTCTTTCAATGGTGTGTCGAGTGGCGAGGGAGCGCGCTAGTTAGTCGCGCTCAGCTGTGGCGCCAGGGGTGCGGTGATGAGCGTCCGGCCAACCAAGCCTCTCATTAGTGCGTAGGAATCCGATGTCGAGGGCGCTGGCTTCGTGCTGGGCGGCCCCCCATGAAGAAATCCTGGCTCCAATTAAGTAATCTCGGCGATACCCGCTGCGCCCCATGCGAGATCGTACAAATCGGGTATGTTCGTATGAAAAACGGTACCTCGCTCGCTTTTCGGTTACAACTCGGGAATGCGTGCGTGCCTCTCCCCCCCTCACTGAGCCTGCCGCCCCGAGGCTCGCACAAGCAGATCGCGTGCCTGCTCACACGTTCAATGCCGCCCGCTCACAGGTGGGACCACATTGAGGGCGGGCGCTCTCGCTACGATGACGCTCAGTGCACTCGCTACTGCGCTCCTTCCAGCGACCCCACCTCAACCACCGGCACCGGCCTGCCCGCTGTATGATGCATACAGTGGCAGGCGAGGAGACGAAGCGAGCACGGACAGCCGTCTCGGCGCTGTCCTGCAGTACGCCACGCCGGAGCTGTGCATGCAGCGCTGCAGCGCTGAGCCCGAGTGCGCATGCGTTCAACTCGACACCACCGCTGACTGCTACATGCTTCGATCCGCTGCATGTCGCGACCCGTCCTCGCTGCCACGTGATGAGTACTACAGCGTGTACGTCAAGACTGCTTGCGGCGATGCGCCAGACGTGTGGACTCGGCGCGCCCTTCCCGCCGACCCGATGCCACCGCAGCCCGATTCGCTGCTGCCACAGGTAATCGTAGCTCGGCGGCCTGGGACGATTACCTGGTGGCCGCCGGTGGCACAGAGCACCTCCTCAGAGCCGAGCTTGGCTAGTATGCTCTTACGGCGCTCGCTGGATGCCTCATCGATTGCGGACACGCCGCTGCCGCCGGAGCCGCTGTCGCTGGAGCCACTCCCGCTGCCGCCTGAGCCAATACGCCGCCGCCTGAGCGAATTCGCTGACAAGCCGGCCCTACAGACTGCGGTCGACCTGTGGTGCACCAACGAGCCGGCCGCTCTGGCGGCGTACGGCCACATCTCGGGCTGGGACGTAAGCGCGATCACCGACATGAGCATGCTCTTCTGCGCTTATTCACCTTCGTGGTCACCTTCGTGGTGCGCGGTTAACGGCGGCGGCTCCACGACCGGCAAGGACACGTGCAACCCCGACATCTCGGCGTGGAACATGTCGGCGGCCACCGACATGAGATACATGTTCCGCGGCGCCTCCTCCTTCGACCAGGACATCGGGTCGTGGGACGTGTCGGCCGCCACCGACATGAGCTACATGTTCTACGGCGCCTCCTCCTTCGACCAGAACATCGGGTCGTGGGACGTGTCGGCGGCCACCGACATGAGATACATGTTCTACGGCGCCTCCTCCTTCGACCAGAACATCGGGTCGTGGGACGTGTCGGCCGTCACCGACATGACCTGGATGTTTGAGAGCGCCTCCCTCAGCGACTGCAACAAGGCGCTCATCCACGCCGGCTTCGACGCTCAGACGAGCGCGTGGCCCTACTCGTGGGGCTCACTAGAGTGCCCCTCGCCCCCGTCCCTGCCACTGCTGCCGTCGTCGCCGCCTGCGAGTCCGCTGCTGCCACCTCCACCCCCGCCTCTGCCGCCGCCGCCACTTCCGCCTCCGAGCCCCCCCCCGCCGCTACCACCCCCGAGCCCGCCGCCACCGCGGCTGCCACCGCCTTCACCGCCCCCGCCTCCGCCCGACGAGCCCGACCCTAATTGGAGGCGCATCACCTGCCCGGTGATGAGCGCCCTCGTCAAGAACGGAGACCTGGTGCCCAGCCCGGCGGGCCTGATCACCAAGCAGCAGACGTTTGACGCCCTGCTCCGCGTCGGCATCTCGGAAAAGGTGGCTACGGAGACCACGGATGCCAACTTTGACCACATCGACTCGCTCGACCTCAACGTCTTCCGGATGAACACCGTCAAGACTTTCGGCACCCCCGACCCTCCCGGTCCGTCGGAGCACTTTCGCAGCACGGGCATCAGGGACCGCCTCCAGCCCAGCTCGGGTGCGTACAACATCTTTGAACGTTGCGCCGACTTTGACGGCACCGCCGGCGAGTTTAGCAGCGACGACATTGTGAAGTGCGCAAACCTCATCTGGGACCACGAGACCTGCTGCGACTTCGGCACATTCCCACCAAAGCTCCGGTCCAACGACGTCCTGGAGAGCAAGCGCCCTCCCACTTGCGGGCCCACCGACTCCGGTCTCTCCGGCTGCGACCCCGACGACCCTTCCTTGGACCAGACACCCTGCTGCCGCTCGCAGCTGCACGGCGCGATCAACTTCATGTTTCAAGAGTTTGGCACGCCGACCGGCGAGGAGGCTCACATGTCCACCACCGACATGAAGAAGCTGTGGCTCGAGGCGGAGTACCCGCCCGACTTCATAGCGCGGTCTCCTCGCAACTGCGTCGATACCGCCGATCCTAGCGCCGCAGGATGCCAGCTGTGCCTCGACGAGGTGCCAACCACCGGCCCGGGCGGACTACCAGTGACAGCCGCGACCTCGACCGAGGCTCAGCGCTACTGCCGCTGCCTCGCGTCCAAGCAGCTGAGCGCGCACGAGCTCGACTCCATTCCCGAGCACACCTCTCTTGAGTGCTCCAAGGATCCGATGGTCTATGCCAACGTGACGCTGACCGATAGACGCCGAGCTCTCTCCGAACTCACACGCCCACGCGAGCTGTTCGATAGCGCGGCCGACGGTGCTGCGCTCCGGAACCTCCTCTCCTCCTTCTACCAGTCCAGAGGCCTAGCTTATGATGACGTGGATGTGCTGATCACCTCGCAGACACCATCCACGTACTCTGTGCGCCTGGCCACCTCAAGGAGTGACGCTGTCTACCTGGCGTACTCGATTCGCGTGGATTTGAGGAGCTTCGCGCAAGAGACGGAGGCGCCAATTGATATCACTGCCGTCACCGTGAGCGACGACCTTCGACTCAACGGCTGTGGACAATTTTGCGAGGCGCAAGGGTCGTTTCTCAGAGGCTTCGTGCCTCGGCGACCGCCCCCCCCCTCGCCGCCAGGCCCAGACGTTGACCCGTGCCTCAGGCCGTGCCTCCAAGGCACGTGTCAAGAGCTGAGCGCCTTTGCTACGTGCGATCAGCTCAGTGAAGTCGGATGCGATTGCCACGGTTGTTGCGCCGAGAGCAGTACGCCGCCATCGCCGCCGCTCCCACTGCCTCCAGCGGGTCCACTTTTTCTTAGCAACCCGCGATTGTCGGCTGGCTCTACTGCTTTCGCCAAGCGGGTGCACACACTCGCCCCCGCGCTCCATACACAGCGTCGATACCGTGTGTGTCTCACTCACGACTCGTGCTCGCAGTTCTTGGCCAAGGTGAACGACGGCAACAGCAAGACCTTTGGCAAGAGCAAGAAGAACAAGAAGAACCCCTGGTTCTCCGCCAAGGCACCCAGCGTTCCTCGCGCCCTCTTCCCTTCTCTGGCACTTCAGCTGGCTCCTCCCGCGACACGTTAGGTCACCCTGGAAACTCAGCAGCCCGTCCGCTCCGTGACCGTCACCCGGGACACCAAGAACAAGCCGTCAAAGGCGAAGAAGTATCTCGAGGGCTTCGAGGTCTGGGTCGGCAAGAAGGCTGGAGTAAAGGCAGTGAAGTGCGGCGGACCGTTCGTCTGGTCAAAAATCAAGAAGGGGCCAGTCACGACGCCGTGCGACGCTGCCAAGTCCAAGTGCGTGTGCCGCCGCCTTTTAGTCGCCACGCGCCTTACCAGTCCCCGTGTTAAAGGGGCCAGGCAGCAAATTCTTACCTCCCCCTCCCTGCCACGCGTCAGGCACCGCTACGTCACTGTCAGTCTCCCTGGCACCAGAAAAACTCTCGCGTTTGGCGAGATAGAGGTACGTTAGTTCGAGGCGCGAGCCGTGCCCTGTGCGGGCGTGCGGGCATGCTGGCTGGTAAATTTAGGCCGCATGGCGGCGCCGTGGTCCCCCAGTATACACTTCCAGTATAATTCTTCTGTGGGTTAGAGCACATATGTCGGTCTCGCCTGTGACGTCTGACGAGCACGTCGCGGCGGTACGGCGGTCCAACTAGATATACCCCGCGAGTAAAGGTCGTCGTATTTTGTACACTCGCTTGGCAAGTAGCCGCTGTCGTCGAAGACGATCGACTCTCGATACCCGCACAAATGTGACGGCCTGTCGCAGCCAGCCGCCGGTGCCGCGTCTCACCAGACGCTGTCGTCCAGCGCGACCAGCAGCCGCCAGCGTGCCGCCTGCGCTTCGCTCGGCGCCTCAAGGCCTGCGACGAGTGCGGCAGCCGCCGGCTGCCGCAGCACGCGCCGCAGCTCGGCCGCCGCCGCGCGCTCTGCCGCCGCGCCCGCCGCCGCCGCACCGCCCGCCGCCGCCGCACCGCCCGCCGCCGCATCCTCAGCGCGCTCTGCGAGCCAGACCGCGAGCTGGAGCAGGGGCCGAGGCAGCCACGCTGCCGCCGGGCCGGCTGCGGCTCCGGCTCCGGCGGCGGGGGCGGCTGTCTCGCCCTCTCGGGTGGCGGGAGGTGGCGCCCACGCGTCCGGAGGCGCATGGCCGACGTCGACAGCGTCAAAAGCTTCGGACGCGGTGCCGATCGCCTCGGCGGCGAGCGCGAGAGACCAGGCGCGCGAGGCGGCGTCCTCGATCGGGAGGTGGGCCAGAAGGTTGCCCGCCTCGCAGCCACGTCCGCGCCCGCGGAGCACGGTGCGGAGGTGAGCGTCGCACGCGTCGCAGGGCAGCGGCGCCCGCCGGCGCTCCGCCGCCCGGCGCCGCTCGAGGGAGGCGAGGGCCAGGAGCAGGGCTGCGAGGGGGCGCGGATGCGCGCCGCACCGATTGGCGGTGGCGAGGCGAAGCCACCCCCACAGGACGGAGTGGAGGGCGGGCCATGCAGACTGCGGCTGCCAAAACAGCGAATCCGCGAGGGGGAGGAGCCAGCCGGCGCCGCCGCGGAGCGAAGGTGCGGCCGAGACGCACGCGCCAAAGGCCTGCAGGAGCTGCTGCAGCAGAGGCGCGAGCCCGCCCGCCGCCCGGGCGGCCTCGCAAGCCGCGCCCGGCTCGGCGCCCGTCACGGCGCCCGCCGCCGCGGCGGCGGTCTTCGAGGGCTCGTGCTGCGACAGCAGAGGCGCGTTGCCGCCGTCGGGCCGCAGCTTGGTGCGAAGGAGGGCCGTCGCCTCCCGCAGACGAGTAGCATCGCCCGCCGCCACCATCTGCGGCAGAGCGTCAAGCAGCGCCTGCCAGCCGTCGGGCAGCGTTGATGGAAGTGTCTAGGAAGTGTCTAGGAAGTGTCTAGGAAGTGTCCAGCAGAGCCTGCCAGCCGTCGGGCAGCGGCGGTGGCGCCGCCGACGTACCAGCCGCGGCAGAGGCGCGGCCGCTTGCGGCCTGTGCTGCCGGCGCCGCCGGTGGCAGCATTCCCTTCGCGGAGAGGAAGGCGGACAGGGCGCTGCGCCTGGCTTCGGCGTCTGAGTCGCCTGAGCGCGGCGCGCGCACCAGCGGCACGACTCGCTGGCGCCAGAAAGCCTTGCGGAAGAAGAGGATCCGCTGGGCCGACCGAGGCAAGCACCCGTCGCGAGAGTGGCTGGAGATCATCTCCTCGACGAGCGCCGCCGCCTCCGCGCCCTCCGAGTCCGCCGCGTCGACCGCCTCACCACCGCCGCCGCCCACTCCGACGCCGCCCCGCTCGCCGGCGGCCTCGAGGTCCTGCAGCCTGCAGCGCATCAAGTCGAGGCACTCGCTCACGTGCGCGGCGGACCCGGCGCCCGCGCCCGCACGGCAAGTGTACGGGCGCAGCAGCTTCTGCTGCAGCGTCAGCGCCGACGTGCCGAGATGGGGCACCAATGCCGACATTGCGCGCAGCAAACGGCCCGCGCCTCGCCGCGCCGCGCTGCGCCCGACCGCGCCGCCGCCGCCGCCGCCGCCGCTGGGTGCCGTCGGGGCAGACGCGGCGGCGGACGGCTGAGCGGTGCCGGGGGAGAGAGTCGCGGCGAGCAGCGGCGCGACGATGGCGGAGTAGCCGCCGCCGCCCAAAAGCTGCACCGAGAGGAGCAGCAGAAAGGACAGCAGCGGCTCGGAGGCCGCCTCCGCCGCCGCCGCCGCCGCCGCCTCGTCGATGCCGTCGGAGGATGGTGCGGCCCACGTGTGCGAACTCACCGCCGCAGATAGGGACTCCGCCCAGCAGGAGGCGCCGCTGCCTCCGCCGCTGCCTCCGCCGCCGCCTCCGCCTCCGCCTCCGCCGCCGCCTCCGCCTCCGCCTCCGCCTCCGCCTCCGCCTCCGCCTCCGCCTCCGCCTCCGCCTCCGCCTCCGCCTCCGCCGCCTCCACCTCCGCCTCCGCCTCCGCCTCCGCCTTCACCGCCGCCTTCACCGCCGTCTTCGCCGCCACCGCCGCCGCCGCCGCCGCTTCCTCCTCTCAGCCTCACGGCGTGCTGTGCCAGCGCCAGCCATGCCACCCACCGCACCCGCTCTGGCGGAGTCGCAAGCGCCGTCGAGAGGAGAGCGCGCGCGAACGTGACGGGCGAGACCGCCGCCGCCAGCGAAGCAGCGAGGCCTACAGCACCCCATGCCCCGCGCTCACCGGCGCTTGACGCCGCCGCCGCCGCGGCTCCTAGGCATCAGCTGGCCGCCTCGGAGCCCGCCATCTTCGTCGGCGTCGCAACCATCCATCTCGTCCGTAGCGGCCTCGCCGCTGCGCTCGGCAAGCGCCGCAACTTGCCGAATCGCCACCGCTAGCCGGGAGGCGCGCCCGCAGCTCGCAGGAGGCATGACTACACCAAGCAACACCCGAGGCTTATCGGAACGGCCCGGGCGCGGCCGTAGCCGGTGGCGCGGGGGTGGCGGGGGGGGTGGCGACCCGCGACGAAGTCTGCCTCCTCGCCGGCAGCGTCCGGCGCGCCGCCGCCGCCCCCTGCAGGGCGATTGCGCCGCACGACAGCCCAGCGCAGCACGACCTACAAGGAGCGCGTGCAGACGCTGACGCCGACTCGCCCCCCCTGCAGCCGGGAGGCACAGAGCCGCGGGCACGTCCGCCGCCCGCACGGAGGTGATGTCGCCGGCGATGCCGCTCGCGAGGCTGCGGGCGCAGCCACCCGCCGCGCGGACAAGCCGCGCCGCCCGCCCCAACGCGAGCGCGTCGCACTGGCGGACCGACCGCCCCTGCGCTCCCGTGGCGCCCAGGTACGCCTCGAGCACCGCCTCCGACACTGCAGCCAAGCGGCGCTCGCCCACGCCGTCGTCGCCGTCGCCGGCCTCGCAGACCTGGCCGCCACCGCCGGCATGGGGAGGGGCCCGCAGCGGCTCGTCGACGCCCCCAAAAGCGGCCACCGACGCAGCGGCAAGCAGCCCATCGCAGGCATCGCCCACATTGGCGCCGGTGGCGTCCGCGGCCGCGTGCAAGCGCGCGAGGGCAATGCCCCACTGTCGCGCCTCGAGGTCGGAGAGCAGCCGAAGCCACTCGGTGAGCGGAACCAGCCCCTCCTCATGCGTTCGCCACGCCACGAATAGCGGCGGCGCGCCGGACTCGCCCAATCGCGGCGCGCGGCGCCGGGCGCCGTCCAGGCAGCACCGCACAAAGCGACGGGCGAGCAGCCCGCCGCTGTCTCTGAGGTCGGCAGTCCGCCGGCCCAGCAGCGCGCCGGCGTCGGGTCTGCGCGCCTGCTCGTCCACGCACCACGCCTCGTCGGCCGCCAGCCACTCTGAGGACAGCCGCTCCTCCGCCTGCACCTCGCGCGCTCGCGACGCAGCACCTCCGAGGGCGCATGGTCGGAGCGGCGGCGGAGGCGGTGGTGCAGCCGTAGCGTCGAGCAGGAGAGGCCTCTTGCGCAGCGCAGAGAGGTAGTCGAGGGCGGAGTCGAGGCCGATCATGGATCTGTAAAAAGCGCGAACATTGATCTCAAAAGAATTTCTCTCGTAATGCTGCAAAAAGATGAAAGTTCTTTCTTTCTTTAAAGAATGAAAGGGAACCACTCTCTCACAGCAGACAGGCTCGACACAGGTGCGGACTGGCGCGTGCTAGCACTAACACAGGCAAACTAGCAAAAAGAATTCCAGGCAAACACCTCAGCGCTCAGGAGCCGTTATCATCGTCGTCGCCGATCTCAGGACCACGGGTCCAGCACGGGGTCGGCCGTTGAGCCAGCTTGCAGAGAATTCCAAGAGGGATTACAGAACAGACAGCGGGCCGGGGCGAAGGGTTCAGCAAGGGACGGACGCGGCTGCCAGACCCAGAGGCAGAGCGGCGGAGAGAAAGACGTCGACCGAACGCGAAAGCCGCCCCTAACGCAGCCTACGCCTCCAAAAAAAGCGCAACAAACTGAAACCCAAATCAAACACACATCGGTCGCGTGGTGGATATCAACCGCACGCGCACGCCACCTGCCGTTCTCGGCATCTCTTGAACAAGACGGGCGCAGGAAGAGCCATTCCGCCCTGCGCTCACACACAAGCCACGTGTCCTACCGGGCACCAGAGCTCACGATGTGAGGTCGCCCTTCTCGACGAGGGCGATGTCGCACGCAACCATCTCTTTGCAGAGCTCCTGCATCGGGATCTTGGGCACCCAGCCGAGCTTCTCCTTGGCCTTGGCCGGGTCTCCGATCAGCAGCTCGACCTCGGTCGGCCGGAAATACTTCGGGTCGATCCGCACCAGGACGCGCGACTTGTCCGCCTGCCGTAATCAAACGGTGGAGGTGGGAGTGCGGTGAAGGCGCGTGGAACGTTGCGCCGTTTTTGCCTCGCACGGCGGGGCCACGCATTCGAGAGCACAGTGTGGAACGGGCCCCGTGTGGTTCGCGCCCGCCGTGCTCCGTGCGGCACGGTGGCCCGCAAGTGTGAGTGCACAGGGCAGGTTTGTTTCCGCGGCTAGGCATCCCCACCGCGTCGACGCCGATCTCGTCGACGCCCTCGCCTACACAGGAAGGTTCCGAGAAGGGTCAGAGGGAGGGCTCCGGGCAGGCTGGTCCCCCTCTCGCCGACTCGCTCACCCTGCCACTCGATGGTGATGCCCACAGGGGCCGCCGCAAAGGCGAGCTCGATGAAGTAGCGAACCTGCGGGCGAGGTGGGGGGAGGGGGAGGGGCTGGAGGGGCGCGCGGGGGCAGGGTGGGCACGGGAGCGGGGGAGGAGGGGGGGGGGTGGGGTGTAGTGAGGGGCGGGGGGGGAGGGAGGCGGAAGTGAGGAGGTGGAGGAGGGCGGTGACGACGACCGGGGGGCTGGCCGCCGTGTTTGTCACTCCCGTCGCCACGACGTAGTCGTCCGGCTCGTCCTTTTGCATCATCATCCACATCATCTCGACCTACGGCAGCACGCTCGCGCGAGACTGAGCACGCAGCGACTGCCGTCGGGGCGCGAGCGGGCGGCGGGCGCACGTAGTCGCGGGCGTGGCCCCAGTCGCGCTTCGCGTCAATGTTGCCCATGTACCTGCTCGCAGCGGGAGGTGTGTGGAGAAGCGCCATGCCCGCAGCGCGCGCGCCGACGCTGCCCCCGCACGCACAGTGTCTGCTGCAGCCCCTTGTGGATCCTGGCCACGGCGCGAGTGACCTGCGGGCAGGCCGGTCGGCACTTGCAGGGCAGGCGGGGGCGGGGGGATGCGGGCGGGGGGATTGGGGGGGGGGGGGTCGTGTGGGTCCAACACGGCTGCGACTCTCGCCGCGCGGGGAGGGGCGAAGGGGCAGCGCAGTCCGTGCGGCCGGCACTAGGGCGCGCCTTTCGGGTGACAAAGGTGGGCCCGCGCCGCGGGGACTCGTGGTTGAACAGGATCCCTGATGAGAACAATCATAAACAATAATGAATCATGACAATAAGACTCGTGGTTGAACAGGATCCCTGCAGCAGCGAGTTTGGGCGGGGGCGGGGTGTGTGCGCGGGGTCGTGTGGGAGGAAGAGGCGGTGGGGGCTGGCGGTACACGCGTTGCCGCGTGCTGCGGGTTGTGGACGGCTGGGTTGGGGGGGAGGGGTACGGGCTCATCGCGCCGTTGCTCGCGTGCATCCCGTACGCCTCGCGGTAGTTGACCTACGCGGTCGGCAGAGTGAAGCCCGTGAGGGGCGCGGGGACGGCAGCCAGCCGCGGAGCCGGCGCCCCGGCGCGCCACGATCCAGTACGCGTACAGCTTGGCCGCGGCGTACGGCGAGCGCGGGTAGAAGGGCGTCGTCTCGCGCTGGGGCACCTGTGGCCAGGTGCATCGCCTCTCGTTTCAGGGCCGGGCAAAGCTCGTTTGTCCACACGCCGGCGAGGTGGGAGGCGGGCGGCCTCGGGGGCAGCGGTGACGTGGCGGAGGTGGCGGAGGCGGCGGAGGCGGCGGGCGAGGTTGATGGACGGAGGAGGGCGTTGGGAGGCGGAGGAAGGACTGCGGTGGAGAGAGGCCGACAGTCCGCGGCCTGGCGGCGGCGGCGCACCTCCTGCACGAGGCCGTAGAGCTCCGAGGTGGACGCCTGGTAGAAGCGCGTCTTCCCGGCGAGGCCCGACGAGCGGATCGCGTTGAGCAGCCGCAGCGTGCCGAGACCGTCTGTGTCAGCCGTGTACTCTGACATCTCGAACGAGACCTTGACGTGCGACTGGGCGCCGAGGTTGTACAACTCGTCGGGCCTCACGGAGGAGACGATCTCGAAGCAGTTGGTCGAGTCGGTCAGGTCGCCGTAGTGCAGGTACAGCTTTCGTGTGTCCACGTGCGGGTCCTGGTACAGGTCTTCGATCCGGCGGGTGTTGAAGGAGGATGAGCGGCGGATGACGCCGTGCACCGCATACCCCTTTTTGAGCAGCAGCTCTGCAAGGTAGGACCCGTCCTGCCCAGTGATGCCCGTGATGAGAGCCACCTTTGGCTCCACCATACTCAAGCCTTTGTGCGCAAGTGCGCAAGTTTTCAACTCCCGCGTCCCTGGTTCGGCCGTCCTCCGATCGCCGGCGATCTGTTTTCTTTATTTTACAAAAAGAATTTGAAACCAGCGTTCATCACCTTCACCCCGCCTTCACACTCCGCCACCCCGTGGTTCCAACCCAGGATAAACGACGCGAGCGAGAGGAACAGGATGTTGCCGCAGACGTCCTCTGGAAGGCCGTTTCGACTGACGTTTCGAGCGGGCCCGCAAGGGCGGTCGGGTCGTAGCCGAGCCTCACAGGCGACCAGCATGGAGCAAAACATCGAAAAGCCCACCGCCGACCCGAAGAATGGCAGTGCGACGGTCTGGGAAGTTGGGGGACACGAAGCCGACAAGGAGGCCGCAGGCGAGAGCGAGTATGAGACCGGCCTTCAACTCGTGCGAAACGGCGCCTCTCCACTCCGACGGGTTGATTAGCAGTGATTAGCCCCAATGCCAATGCGGCGGGCGTTGATGGCGGGGAGGATTGGAGATCGATGTTTCCGCTGATGGCCGAGAACACGGGCATAAAGGCGATCAGGAGCGGCCCGCGAGGTTGTTGGTGTACTGCGAGGGCATTGGGGATCGGCGAGAGGTGAGTGAGGGGCATCCGCCGAGGGCATGCATCTCCATGGCTCCATCTGGGCGATCGGCGGGCCGTGGTGATGACGAAGGCCACCATCAACTCGATCGCAAACGTGACGAGCAGAGCAGGGAGGCGGCGACGGCTGCGCTGTAGCATCGACTCGCGGGCGGCCCTCAGCGCGTCCAACCGGGGATCGCTCAGACTCATGGCCTTGAGGTCGCATTGGTCAATGATCTCTCGCTCAGAGACCTGGACCTGCTTGTCGGACACCTTTGCCTCACCATTGTTCGTCGCGCGGATGTATGGGTAAGTGCTACCAGCATCACCAGCAGTGACATGGCCACTCGTCCCAGTCTCGCAGGTCCCAGCGTCGGCGGCAGGGACTCCCGCCAGTTAGCGGTGGCCGCAATGCGTGGCCAGCGCACCTGCATCGGAAAGAAGCCCCCTCTTTCTTTCATCCTCGCACCACCACCACCACACTATTGGAGATCACGAAAAAAACTGAGCTTCCTTTCGCAGAAGAATTCGTCGTTCGACTTGGGCGGTGTCGGCGTTTCCTCCTGGTGGTCCTCATAGACCTCACTCCTGGCCGTCGCAGCTACGCTACAAGCCACCACCTCGCCGCACGCAGCGACGGCACCACCGCCGATCGGATGCTGCCTGCCGGCCAAAATGATCAGATGACTGCACCTGCGGCGACGGAGCCGGCGGCACTGTTCTTCCTGCCGAGACTGTTTACAAAGCGCCGACCGGAGGCCTACGAATCCCATCACGCCTCGCAAGAGCCCTACGACTCGGAGGACGACCTCAGATTCTTTCTCGCTGGCCTCGTCGCAGTTCTCCTTCTGGCCGCTCTCTTCGCTGCTAGCTGCCGCCTTCGCGGACGGTGGGGTCGGCGGTTACGTAAAAAGCAAGTGGCAGTCTGCACGGTGGTGCAGACCCATAGGTGGGCCGAGAGGGCGCGAGCCAACGTCCAAAAGATGGGAGCGCCCGAACCCGCAGGCTGGCGTCCAGATCATGTCGTCGTGGAGATTGATTGCAGGAAAGTCTGAGAGCGGCTGGTCGTGGAGCACCGGCAATATTAAAGGCCTGTTTGCCTCGGAGACGCTCTCGATTCGCAACGTGCGCGCCACCTTTAGAGACAGATGTCATGTGGCCATTGCATGTGTGGTAATGAAATGATGCATGGTGTGATCCTGTGTGTGCTGATGGTATGACTTGTATGGAATTATGGTTGTATGCATGGAGGAGTGATGTGTAATGAGAGGTTATGGAATTATGCTTTATCTTATGGTTGTATGCATGGAGGAGTGATCTGTGATGAGAGGTTGGAGGAGAAATCTCTACGACCGAACGAGTCGTGAGGCACTGCACGCCACTGCGGAGTGTGGACGCCGCCCCTCCGGGCGGCGGAGGCGGTCGTGCCGCGGCGCAGCGGTCGGGGTCGTGTGGCGGCGGGTCCGAGGCGCGCAGGAGGCGCGACGACCGCTGGCGTGGAGCGGGTGGAGGAGGCCGCGCTGGAGACCCCGCAACTCGAAGTGAGCCAAGCGCAGCGCAAACTCGCTCCATGTCTGCGCGACCCCGGATTTATTTCCCCCAATCAATGTCTTTGCCCCAGAAAAAGGAAAGGAACGGTGGAGAAGGAAGAGACTGCCAGATGACTGCCGCGCGCGGTGGCATGAGAACACGGCGAGAGCAGGCACTGGCACGTGGCAGGAAACTGCTTGGTTGGGAAATTGGAACACTAATGAAAGCGCGCTGCTGAGGGAGGGTGTAGAGGATGTAGAGTGTAGAGCGCTGTAGAGCTGTAGAGCTGTAGAGCGCTGTAGAGCGCTGTAGAGCTGTAGAGCTCTACATCCGCCGCGGGACGAGGCGCCTGCGTTGTAGAGCGATGTAGAGCGCGATTTTGTTGTAGAGTTTGTTGTAGAGGCTCTACAGCAAAACCGCCGGGAAGGCAGTGACTCAAAGAGGTCGAGCCGCGCTAATGGGGTGTCTCCGAGCTTACTGGAGCTCTGATGGACGGACCTGACTATCCCTGACACACAGAGAGTCACTCTGACGGCACACAACACCCTATAACTGCGTCATGACCAGCCTGCCATGCGTCGCCGGTGCCGCATTCGTCGCAGTGCTTCTGTAGCAGGCGGTGGACTGTCGGCTGCGAGGACGGTCGCATTTGCGCGAGGCGAGGCGAGCATTGCTGCGCGTTGCATGCGCCATGCCTCGCGCCAGCGCGTGCGGGAGCTCCTGGCTGAGCGTTGAGTCCAGGCGAGTTGCGCTGGCCACTATCGCTACGCCGAGCCGAGCTGACGCGCCGAGGCGCCGGCCAGTCGCAGCCGTGAGGCATGCCACAGCAGCAGAGGCACCTGCCACCCATTGGGCGGGCAGACAGAAGGCCAGGGCAGCACTGGCAAGTGCAACGCGCCTCATGTCGGAGAGCGACCGTGCCTCGTTCGCCGCTTTTGATGTAGAGTTTGTTGTAGAGATTTCACGTTGTAGAGCGCCTCTACATCGCTCTACAACGCAGGCGCCTCGTCCCGCGGCGGATGTAGAGCTCTACAGCTCTACAGCCCTCCAGAGCGCTCTACATCTCTACAGCTCTACAGCGCTCTACACTCTACATCCTCTACACCCACCCTCAGGCGCGCTGCCAAGGTCCAGGGTCAGAGCCGCCTCGCTTCGCGTTGGCCGTTATACGCTTTTCTCGCCGAGTACTATCTATATTCTTTTTGCGTATTCTTTCCGTATTCTTGTCCAAAATAGGGTCTATATTCTCGAATATGGCAAGAATATGGCTCCAAATAGGGCCTATATTCTCGAATATTCTTTATATTCCGGCTGAAAATCGCTTCGAAAAAAAATAGAATATATGAAGAAAAGGGTATAAAGGCCAAGCTTCGCGGCCGGAATCAAGTCCGAGCACACACACACACACACACACACACACACACACACACACACACACACACACACACACACACACACACACACACACACACACACACACAAGACAAGGGAGAACTTGTTCTTCACCTTCAGATACAAGAACTCGGAGAAAAAACGAGTTCAAAAGAAGAAACTCAGGGTGCTCCGGCTTCCCGCCCGTGCCAACGACAACTCCGACGACATGAGCAAAGTATCCGGCGGCTGCGGCGGCAAGAGCAAGGGCGGAAAATCGCGCTCGAAAGGGGTCGGTAGCGACGTCGCCGCCGTGCGCACCGTGAAGCTGTCGACGAGCGCCAACGGCGATGTCGTCTCCACGCTGCGCCGCGCGCTCCGAAACGACGATGGGACCGATCGCGACTTGCTCAATGATTTGCCGGCCGGCCTCCGCGCCTTAAAGCGGTCAGGCCTTGACCTCGAGATTGAGTTTCACTCCGGCAAGAAGCTGAATCGCGCCGACGCAAAAGTGTGCCTGGCCATGTGCCGCGAGGAGCTGCAGGAGGAGTACGAAGTGTCAGGCTACGGGTGGGACGAGGAGGATAAGTGGGGCGAGCTGACCTCGTCCGAGTCGCGGCTGCTCCTGTTCCGCGAGGCGGTGGGCCGGCGGATCGTCGGCTACGCCTCTTTCCGCCTCACGCTGCAGGGCGAGTGCTGGAATTGCATGGAGGGGTCGCCTTGCCTCTTCGTCTACGACCTCCTCGTGCTCCCCGAGTACCGGCGCAAGGGCGTGGGCAAGCAGGCGCTCCTGACCCTCGAGATGGCCGCGAGGAAGGCCCGCCTGGCGTACGTGTGCGCGCTGGTCACCTCTGCGAGCGCGCTCGGCCCTCCCTTCTTGAGCGCCATCAAGGGCTGGCGCGACGACACCGCCGCGGTCCTGCAGATGGACGCGGCCGACCCGGACGACGACTCGTTCCGCGTGTACGCAAAGTGCGTCGACACCTCAATCCTGCAGGCGGAGCAGCAGTCGCAGAGTGTGCAGGCCTATGCGCGCCAGCTCGCCGCGCAGCTCGCGGCGGCGTCCGCCGCGCCGCCGCCGCCGCTCCCCGAGCCGGCCTCGGAGGCGCGCGCGGCGGCGGAGGACCCGACCCTGGCGGCGGAGGAGGCCAGCGACGAGGTCGCCGGGTCGCCGCCGCCCGCCGCCGAGCCCGCCGACAAGGCGAAGAGCAAGAACGCGAAGAAGAAGGCTCGCCAGCGCGCCGCGCGTAAGGCCGAGGCGCCCGCCACGCCCCCCGCGCCCACAGCGGGCGAGGCCGAGGCGCTGTCCGCCGCGCCGACGGCGGAGCGCAAGGAGCCGACCGAGGGCGCCGACGGTGCCGACGGCGTCGCGCCGCCGTTCGCCTTTGGACGCGCGCTGCCTCCGCCCGCCCTGCGCTTCGACCTCTCCGCGCTGGCGCGGCCGCTGGAGGGCGGCGCCCGGGAGGAGGGCGGGGAGGGCGGTGGCGGGGAGGAGGGCGGGGAGGGCGGTGGCGGGGAGGAGGGCGGGGAGGGAGGTGGCGAGGAGGAGGAGGAGGTGGACCGCGTGCTCGACGAGCTGTGCGCCCTCTTCGAGGAGCGCAACGGGCGGCCGGCGACGGAGAGCGAAATCGCCTCCTGGGTGCGGACGATCAAGGAGGCCAACCTCTCGGGCCAAGACCTGGGGGCGGACCCGGCCGCCGAGCCGGCCGACGGGGGCCTTTGCGGCGAGACGGGCGAGGCTGGCTGTGTGGCCTGAGGCTAAGGGCGGGGCGCCGGGTAGGCGGGTCTGTGGTAGGGGTGGGGCTTCTCCGTCGGGCCCGCGCTGGCCGAGCCACACGGCTTGGACAACATACTCCCGGTCTCCTGACTATAAATAAATAGAGCACGCATCTCCCGGAGAGATGGGCGACGCACGAACCCCGAGGCACAGCGCGCACCCCGGTCCCCGCTCGCAGGGCGTGCACCACACAGCTGCACACAAGTGACAAGACATTAAGTCAGACATACAGTTATCTCTAGGCGCTGCGCGATTTTCCTCAGGATTTCGGGGGGGCAATACGATGGTCTCCTTGCGCGTAAAAAAAGAAAATGGACAACCCAAGGGAGGGATGGGAAATCTCCTAGCGCGTGACGGTGACGTCTACTGTGTTCGATCTTTCCCTTGTATTATTCGCAACTGGAACAGCGCCTCTAAGCGAGACCGCCCTCTGTCTGGCCCTCCCCCGTCGTCGAGCTGCTGTTTTCTCTCTGCCTATCGTAGTATGTCTATGAGATAAACGCGCACCAACAACAGCCGTCGCACAACGATGGGCAGCAGTGTGCCCTCTCCTGAGGCTCCACCGGGACAAGAGACCGCCCGCAAGAGGCAGGAGACCGCCGACGCCACAGTCGGGTCGCGCATAGGGATCACCCACTCCCACGGCGCAGCACGAACCTATGCTGCGCATGGGAGGGAGCCGCAGCTGGAGGACTGGCTCGTGATCGGCACCCTCCTCGTGCTGCTCGTGTTGGCTCAACTCGTGATGTCATGCCGCCACCGCCGCCGCCGCCGCGGCCGTCGTCTCGCAAGACAGAAGCACCGACAGTTGGCGAGGGCGCGGATCGCGCCGACCGCGTCGTCGTCGTCGGCTGGTGGCGACGGCGACGGCGCGGAAGACGACTGTTGCCGGAGCGAGCCCCACGACCGACAGAGCGCGCCGAGCGTGGCGCCGGTCGACGAGCCCAAGGACCCCATCCATCCATCCACGTCCGGCACCGCCAGCACCGCCGAGGAGGCTGCCGCCCAGGAGGGGGCTGGCCCGTCGGGGCCGAGGCTGCTGCAGCACCGTCAGCGGCAGCAGCGGCAGCAGCGGCGCATACGCGACGGCCCGGTCGTGTGCCCGGCGTTTGGCGTCGCCCCGAGCCTCGTGGAGCCGCGTGCCATGCTCCTCGCCGTCGCGCGCGTGGCGAGCCAGGAGGAGCCGCACACCGAGGACTCGGTCTCGAGCGAGGACGAGTCGGCTGCCGAGGCCACGCCCAAGGCGCGATCGGCCTCCGACATCATCCCGCCCCTGCCGATCCCCGCGGGGGCGCTCACCCGCGCGTCCCTCGCGTCCTTCGACTCCGCGTGCAGCGAGCCCGCAGCTGATCGGCCCGCGAGCCGGCAGGGAGGGGAGGCGGCGCCGCACGAGTGGAGACGGACAGCGGAGGACTGGGTCACGTCATGGTTCTTCAGGGATGTATCTTATTAGTGATTACATTTAATCAGTGTGATTATAGAGTGTTCCTAAAGTACTTTGCGGAGATCAGCAAGCACACAGCAGAGGAGGATGTACGAAGAGATTAGGAGCAGCAGGGACCCGAGGGACCATGTGGAAGACGGCTAGTGCTAGTCCCCCATCGGGAGGACGACGGCGGCTAAAGTACTGTAGTCGCCGACCCCACACCCACAAAGTCAAAGTGAACCCTGCACAAAGATCGCACGGGCGGGGACCTGTTCTCCTTTTTACCCATGTACATGTCTCCGTGCGTGTGCGGTGTGGGTGTGCTGGTGAGTGTCGGCTTTTTATGATAGACCTTACGTATTTACTTGTACTACACTTCGTATTGTGGACGTCTGTGAGGCGCTGAGGCGTGAACCTCCGTGAGGGGTGGGGTGCGGGAGACCAGGGACTCCAGGAGAGAGAGGCAGAGTGGAACTAGTGGAGTCTGGAGAGGACAGGGAGGCGGAGGGACGTGTCCGACTCCCTGGCGCGGGGGGCGGGGGGGCGGTTTCTTGTGCATGCGGTCGAGTACGACGGCTACCCCGACGCAGCCCCGACGCGGAGCCTCGGCAAGAGGAAGAGACGTGGACTCAGGTGACGGTTGGGTGTGTGGTCGCGGTCAGCGCTCGGACGCCGTCACCCGAACCGGCTATGCCACCGGGGCCCTAGGTTGCCTTGGTAAGGTACGCGATGAGCACGCGCACCTCGAAGACCTGGCTCGCCACCACGGCCATCTGGATGAAGTACACGATCCACCCCCCGGCGATGCCGAGCGTGAGGAGGCGGTCAACGTCGTCCTCCTGCGCGCACAAGGGGTGAGTGGGTGGGTGGGTGGACGGGAGGTAGGGCCGGCGCGGGAGAGTGGAAGGGCCTGGGCGGGTATGGCGGACGCGAGGACGGGAGGGAGGGAGGGGAGAGGGGGGGAGCGCACGAAGCTGGCGCAGCAGATTGAGAAGGTGAGGGCATCAACAGTAAAGCTCGTTCCCAAAGGAACGAGCTCGTTGCACTTCCAGTCGTCGTTGCTGCCTGGTGACGTTCGGTGGTGGCGCAGGGCGTGGGTTACTATATGAACTGAGACTGCTGCTATTGCTATTAAATCGCCTGGGTCGTTCAAGAGCCAAGCCTTCCAGATTTGGTTGTCGGCGACGTTGATGAGGATTCCAGGGACAAGCGCCAACAGCACAAGCGCCGGCATGACAAACAAGAACGGCTTGAGCAGCTTTGGCGACGCTTGGACCACACGCCGACCAAGGCCACTGGCACTGCGTACAAGGCCACTGCGAGAATGGTGAGGCCGAAGCCTATCCCCCACCCCGCCTCGTAGAGGGTGGCCATGTCCTCAAAGTCGCAATCCTTCTCGCTCCAGACGTTGCATGAGCAGGCCTGGTTGCACGCCGGAACTCGCGCACAGTACTCTTTGGCGTCGTCGACGATGGCGTCGGTGACAAGAGCCCGCCATTGGGTGCGTTGGGGAGCGGGGCAAAGCTGAGGATGCTGAGGAGCGAGAGGACGAATGAGACGCCGAGGTACCACTGCAAGGGTGAGGGGAGCAGGGGCGGTTTGGGAGACGGCGGCGGGCGTGGCAAAAGGGAGATGGTGGCAAGTCACACCATCAGCCCTTGCTTGATTCCGCAGCAGCAGCCGCAGCACCGGGGCTCGCCGCCCATCGTTCCGGTGGTGCCGGAAAGGCGCCCCTCGACCGTGAAGGAGAACCGGCCGAGCATTGTCGTGATTGCGCTGACTCGTTAGACCTCTATCATCAAACAAAAAAATGGATCGTTCGTCTTGGCTCATTTCACCAAGAAGGGGGCCCGAGGGTGGGTGACGGCTAGCACCACACGCCTCTCCTTAAAATCCCTGTGTGGTGGCGGCGTGCCGTCCTCCCATCCCTCCCTTGGCTGGTCTGTTTGCTTTCTTTTACTTGTCGAATGGGGATAATTCGCCACAATCCCCACACACGGAACCACATGCTAGCACAACGCCTCAAAGCGCCAAGCCGCGGGGGGCGGCGACGGTGCGTTCGGATATGCCACGACTCTCACTCGTGTCGGACTGCGCGTCAAGCAAATCAATCAAGTATTCTCGAGGTCTCGAAGCGTCGAGGAACGGGAGTCGCTCTCTCTCTCTCTCTCTCTCTCTCTCTCTCTCTCTCTCTCTCTCTCTCTCTCTCTCTCTCTCTCTCTCTCTCTCTCTCTCTCTCTCTCTGTGACTAAACTATCTCTTTCTCGCTCTGTGACCAAAAACTAACTCTCTCTCTCTCTCTCTCTCTCTCTCTCTCTCTCTCTCTCTCTCTCTCTCTCTCTCTCTCTCTCTCTCGTCTCCGTTCCATAGTTATGAGAGCTGTCTCTTGGTGGTCCAAGTCACCTCGTCGAGGTACTCACTCGAGGCCCGACGCCCGAGTCAGTTTTGTCGTCTTTTTCGTGCCCACAGTGCCCAGCACATGCTGTCAACGCGATGTAAAGGTCGCGCCGCCGGGGT